CCCCCCTCTCCCTCCCCCTCTCTGGTGGTGGCGGTGGCGGTGAAGCCGTTCTAAGAGCATTCCCTGCGCATGCACAGGGGATGCTCTTTTACTTTTTTGGGGATTTAATTATTTCCCCTATATTTTTTTACAGTTTTCAGATTTTTCTGCACACCTGGGCATTGCCCCATGTGCGCAGGAAAATCTCCCTGCCCCCCAGGTGTTGCCGATGTGCGGATTTAGATATCCGCATGCAGGGAGCGCCTTGGGAATTAGATATATAGATACAGATTCAAAGGGCTTCCCCCCCCCCGTGTGTGTGTGTGGGTGGATGGGTGGGTCTTCTGAGCAACAAATGCTAGCTCCGGTAAAACCCCTAGGTTCTTAATAAAGACACAGTCAACAATTGTCATGGGCTGGGTAAGAGCCTGGATGAGCTGGTTCCGGCTAGGTGGGGGGGTCCTTCTTCTTTTGTCGGCTTTCTTCAGCGTGTATGCCATGATAACATCACCCGGAAGTGATGTCATCGCGCAGGGCACGTTGTGGGTGGGGCCTCTATTGTTCAAAGAAAAACCATATAGTTTTTCCTTGAATAATAGAGTGTCCTCCCACAACATGCCCTGCATGATGACGTCACCTCCGGGTGACATCATTGCGCCGGGCATGTTGACTCAAATTCGGCACTTTGGGGGCAGGGTTCCCCCTGCCGGCTAGATCCGGGCTGACGGATTGGGGGTCCTAAAAGCAGGAACCCCCCCCAGGGGGAATAGCAAGTCTAGTTCCGGCCCATGGGCCTTATGTTTGACACCTCTGCTCTAGGACTTCATTTCTCCTCAGCACTATGGTATACCATAGAGTCTGCCCTCCACATTTCCTCTAGGGAGACTGATCTCTAATTTTGGATAGCAGTTGTAACTTAGGGAGATCTCCAGGCCCTACCTGAAGATTGGCAACCCTAGCATGATGCACTCCCCTCCCAGAGTATATAATAAACCAGTCTGTGCACCCTGAATGAAAGCAGCTATCCTGCCTCTCCCAGAAAGGGCAGGCATTAACTAGGTCAGTTTCTACCTCCATCTAAGTTAGTTCCTTGACTTTTCATTTAAATTCTGTCAAGTTCCCTACATGCTATGTACTGGTGGAGCTTGAGTCAGAGCAAGGCTCTATTGGTTGTGTTACTGGTAACGGCCGATCATATTTGTGGATGATAACCCAATAGCTGCACTGTCATTAGTTACATTGTACATGCAGATGAAGGATTCTGGTTGCCTACTTGGTATTGGTTGTTGTTTAAGGTGGGTGTGGTTTTTACAAGCATAAATCAGCTCCCATTGAGCCTGTGTCTTTGGTTCGGAGTTCAATAAAGAAATATGTTGTTATGAAAAGAGCTGCCTCATCTCAGTACTTAATACTGCAGACAAGGATGGGATGCCAGCAATCATAGGCTCATTCAAAGCTGAAACCACTCGCTGAAATCATTCACCCCAAGCTGAAATCGCTTGCTGAAATTACCAGCTCTCGACCGTGATCATGGCCGCCAAGGGGCACATTGAACCTTTCGATGCAGCAATCAAGGATTGAGACACCTATCAGACCCGATTTGAATTCTGTCTCACAGCCAATGATAGAAGAAGACGAAAAGCAGCGTGCAATGTTTTTCAGCATCTGTAGCCGACCCACATTCGAGGTCACCCGGGCTTCATTCAGCACGAAGTTCAATAAAGTATGTTGTTATGAAAAGAGCTGTCTCGTCTCAATACTTAATACATACCTTGCCACTCTCTCAGCAGCCCCTTGTAACGCTAACAAAACCTGGACTTTTCCCTGCCAGATGTAAACCCTAATAGTTCAACAGACAAAATAAAATAAAATAAAAGGGGCTCTTTTGTATAGCAATCTGGATTTGGCCACCCTTTTAGGACAGAGATTAATTTGGAACCAGGCAAAGACTTAATCCAACCAAGGACTGTTTCCCTGTCCCCCATGATCTTCAAGGCATCCTAGGCCACAATATCCCATCTTCTCATCAGACAGGCAAAGTATATTTTACATCTTGCCCTTTAATTCTCAATCCTGGCAGCAATACCCCCTCCCAACAAGTGTCAGCCAGACTCCATCGAAGGTGGGACATAGGCTGGGATGTGATTCTCTCCCATTTTATCCTCACCACACCCCTGCAAGGCAGCGTTGGCTAAAAAGGGAAAGTGACTGGCCTATAAGGTCATTTGGCTGATCTGAACCCAGGTCTCAAGATACCATAGCCCCAGCTGCTATTCCACACTAGTCCTTGGTGGGGGAAGATAAGCATCACCAAAATACTCAACTGTACAATTTCAGAGTGGAGGGAGTTCGATTTTAAGTATTGAATACAAGTTCCCGCTTTAATACTTTGTTGGGCATAAAGGTGCCACTGGACTCAAGACGTTCTGCAGCTCAGCTCCTGCCATCTTCATCCCGAATGCTTCTCACACCCAGGGCCAAATCACAGGCCCTCTGCAGAGCTGGTTATTTTAACAGGAATTCTGTTTATTCAGGCAACAAGAACAAGCAGGTATTCTCTGAACACTACAACTCAGCAATTATTGGGAAATGAAAGGAAATTAACTGTGGACGTTAGAATGTGCATCCTGGAAGTTTAGTTTTAGAATTGTAACCAGGGCTGCCAACTTCACCTTGGGAAATTCCTGGAGTTCGGGGGCACAGACTGGAGAGGGCAGAGTTTGGTGAGAGAGCTCAGCAGGACTGTAATGCAATAGAATCCACCTTACAGAGTAGCCATTTGCTCCAGGGGGACTGATTGCTGTTATCTGGAGAGCAATCACAATTCCAGGAGAACTCCAGGCCTCACCTGGAGGATCTTATGAAACTTAACATCAAATAAAGCTCCGCAGTATTACAATTCCTAAGCATCTCTTATTATTTCAATATACTATTCAGACCAATACAATACAAAGGTTACATAGACAAGTTAAGAACTTGAAGGGAATACATCCCCAAGTATGACATCACTGTTCTAAGGTGGAGAAAATGCTTCTCAGTTCCAGACTGGAAAAACAAATGTCCATGAAGCAAATAAATCCAGACTTGAGGCAAACACAAAATGAACCGCAGTCGACCTATTCTCTAGATATTAATGGGTTAACCCACCTGGAGGATGGCAGCTCTGTTTCCTAATTCAAGATGGGCGGCCGTGTTAGTCTGTCTGTAGCAGGAGAAAAGAGCAACAGTCCAAGAGCACCTTCAAGACTAACACAATTTGTGGCCAGGTAGGAGCTTTCATGAGTTGCTGCTCACTTCTTCAGGTACCTGAAGTGAAGATATCTGAAGAAGTGAGCCATGACTCATGAAAGCTCCTACTCTGCCACAAATTGTGTTAGTCTTTTAAGGTGCTCCTGGACTCTTGCTCTTTACTGCTACAGACAGACTAACACAGCCACCCATCTGGATCTATCTGAAGTGTGCAGTGACTCACAAAAGCTCCTACTTGGCCACAAACGGTGTTAGTCTTGAAGGTGCTCCTGGACTGTTGCTCTTTTCTCCTGCTACTGACTGACTAACACAGTTACCCATCTTGACCAAAAGAAGTGAGCAGTGATTCAGGAAAGCTCCTACCCTGCCACAAATTGTGTTAGTCATTCTTGAAGGGGCTCCTGGACTCTTGTTCTTTTCTACTGTTTCCAAATTCTTTACCAAAGCTCCCATATTGGGAAAAAATCATTTAGAAAATATGTATGTAATAAATAGGAGCTCTTTTCTCCGTGAGCTACTATTTTTCTACACACAGGGAGAACCTTTCTTTGCTAAGCTGCTGTTTTTCTGCACACAGGTAAGAACCCTGAGGCATCTTTCTTCCTAAAATAGCTGACTGCCGAAAGACAAATTCTAAGGGAAGAAAGACGCAGATGGGTCGCCGCAACAGAACAAAGTTTGAGTCCAGCGGCACCACCTTTAAGACCAACACAAATTTAATTCTGGGCACACGAAAGCTTGTACCCAGAATTAATCTTTGTTGGTCTTAAAGGTGCCCCCCACTGGGCTCAAATGTGGCTCAACCCCACCACCTCGGGTCCGTCTTTGAAAATCCGCCGCCCGCGTCTAGAGAGCAAGAGCAACTCTAGCCCATGATGCGCATGCGCCACTCTAAACCGTCCCCCTCTCTGTCGCTTGACGGCCCTAGACAGGCCGCCCGAAAACGGAAGCCGGCTGTCGTTTCCGTGACGACAAGGAAGCCAACGCTTTCCTTGCTGCGACTCGGAAATCGGCGCCCAAACCTCCGACCGGAAACGGAAACGATGCTGGCTGCTTCCACAAGGGCCTAGACGGCACGGAGGCCTGCTGGCATCCTTGGGAGACATGTCGCGGCCAGCCTCGAGTCAGGAGCTCAGCCGCCGGCGGAAGCACCACCTGGACACCCAAGCCTGGGGGGATGGGGAGGAGGACTGGGCCTCTCCGCCTTTGCCACGGCGAAGCCGCTGGGAGAGGCCGGGGCCCGCCGACTGGGGGCCCGAGGAGGAGCCTCCCGCGGAGACAGAAGCCGGGCCGGGCCCGCCCCCCCCCTGGAACAGGAAGCATCCGCCACAAGCGAGCTGGCGAGGCCGGCCTAGGAACCGTCCCGCAGGCCAGCCGTGGGACAGGCCTGACTACTCCCAGAAGTCGTGGGGCAGCCCGACCCACGAGGGTGGCGGGAGCTTCGAGCCGCCGCCGCCTCGTAGGGAGCGGATGCCTAGGCCGGGTGGCGGCAGGTGGAGCAGCCCTGAGAGAACGGGAGGAAGTCGCCGCCGGACTCCTAGCCCCGGGCAGGGGGCTTGGGACAGCGCCGGGGCTCTCTCTAGGCAGCAGGGCCCCAACGGAGATACAAGAGCCTGGGGGAGCCCCGGGAGGGAGGGGGCCTGGGAACGCTCCAGGAATGTTGAGCGCCGTGCCCGGGAGGAAAGGTCAGGGAGTCCAGGTGGGGCTGGAGGGAGGTGGGCCACTGCAGGGAGGATGAAAGAGGAAAGTCAGAGCCCTAGCAGAGAACGTAGGAGAGGAATGCCGTGGGGGCATCAGCGGTAGGAGCCAACCAAGCAGGGAGCAGGTGATGGGTAGCTCCAATGAGACTGGAGGCAGGTGGGGCAGGATTGAGAGAAGGGGAAGAGAGCGCCACAGCCCCACTAGAAAGCAGAGCGGTTGGGGCAGTCCCAAGAGGGAGGCAAGGCAGGAACACTTAGGAAGCACCAGATACCATGCGAGGGAACAGGGTCAGGTAAATCCTGTTGAGGCTGGAAGCAGGCAGAGTTCTGCATGGTGCAGGGAAAGGAACTATCAGAACCGTAGCAGAGATGAAGGGAGCTCAGATAGCCCCAAGAGGGAACGTCAGAGTCCTAATGGAGAGGTCAGAGGGCAGGGCAGCCCCGTGAGATCTAGGGGAGCTGAGAATCTGGATGGAGGAGGAGCAGAAGGGGATAGCCACGAGAGGGGAGGTGAGGAGAAGAGTACATATGCTGCAGGGAGAGGCAGTCCCGAGGCAAGCACTTCCTTCGCTGACCTGATCTCTGGCAGCCCTGTAGTCCCAAAACAGTGGACGCCACGTGAATCGGTGGTGCACTGGTGGACGCAGTGCCGGAGCACCCTGCAAAATAAAATGCGGGAGCAGCTGATGTCCCTCTGCCCCCGTCCTACCTTGCCTGACCGGTCGTCTGAGACCCCACGGATCAACCCAGAGATCCACTCCTTGCTGAACACGAGGCAAGAGAAGGAGCTACGAAGGGCCACGCATGTCTCACTCTTGCTGCAGGGTGAGGTTTTGGACATGCTGGCACCAGCCATGACCATTTATGAGATGGCAGAGGAAGCAATGGAGAAGGATGAGCCAGTGGACCCCATGGAGCTGCGCGAGTGGTCCCGCCATCTCATTCGTTTCATTGGCAGCATCAACAACAGGCTGAGCCTTAAGCACCGTTCCGAGGTCCTCAGCTGCATCAACCCACGACTCAAGTCGGTGGTGTCTAAAATGAATGGCCAGAGCACAAAGGGGTTGCTCTTTGCAGAAGACAAAGTGAAACTGTTGAAGGAGATCGTTATGAGGTTCCCGCAGCTGACTGAGATCCAGAAATTGCCCAGGAAAAGGTTCTACCCTTTCACTCGAGTGGTCTACGACAAGCAGGCCCAGAGAAGACCCCTTTTGAGGTCCCACTCCAAGCCACTGGGCCTTGGCAAGCGAGGCACAGGTAAGGACTTCCCTGCCTCCAGCACTGAGGACTTGTTGCCAGGAGGCTTGGTGATGCTTTAGCCTCCGTGCCTTCTTGCTGCTCGTGTGAGAATTCACTGAGTTCAGCTTTGAGGCAGCTACTGCCTGCCTTAATGGGCACCACCCTGACAGTGGGGTGACACAGCCTTGGCCGGTATCTCCTTTCTAAGTTCTGTAGACCATTTGTTTTAATTAGCACACATGAGGGCTGAAAGCTTAAAAGCTAAGTGCTGCAAAGAAGTCACGAAGAACCTACAAGTCGTATGGAACCTGCTGAAGAAATTCGCACAGGCCTACCAGCCTGCCTGTCTCAGAGGAGAGTGTGAGGTTGTTGGCTAATGACCAGTGACACTCTGTCCTCCATGGGCCAGCAGTTCATTTCCAGGCCTACTGGCTATTAATTGGGGGGGGAGTATGCCCTTGTCTTTGGCAAGCAGGAGGTTCTTTCCGAACCCTTTCTGTGACTCCCTTGGCTCTGCCCAACAGGGCGTGTGCTGGCTTTTGAAGCCGTGAACCCTGCTCTTCTGTTGCCCTTTCTTCAGCAAGAGCATCTGTGGCCACCCTGGCATGGTGAGAGCGCCACTTTGAGAGTGCCTGAGTCACTCGCCCTCCGTGGTGATAAATCCAGAGGGCAGTGTTCTTTCTGAAATTTTGAAAAAAGGTGAGGGATAGGCGATCCCCCTGCTGGTGTCTCTTCAGGCTGTCCAGGCCACTGGGGAGGGGATACGGCTGTAATAGCTTTGCCGTGGGAGGGAAGCCCCTCTCCTCTACCAAGTGGGCCGTCTACAGCAGGGCTACCCACCCCAGCCTCTTGGTGGTAGCTTGATGTGCCTTGGCTCAAGTGGGGAAGGCAGGGGAGGAGCAAAAACAGATGCCCCTGTGGCTGCTACTCTTCTCCCCTCAAAGCAAGTACAGGTTACCTGTTAACTGGACTCCAGCCCACCAAAGCGAATAAGACTCATCTACTTAGAAGCTGCCTGCTGTGGAGTCAGACGGTTGGCCTTCTTTGGCCCAGGTCTGTCTGCTCTGACAGGCAGCAACTCTCTCGAGTTTCTGGCTGAGAGGGGCCTCTCTCCTGCTTCCTTACGACCCCTCCCAGCTTAGAACTCTCGCTTGTTTTACAGCAGACCAGCGAGTGGAGCAGAAGCACAGCCAAGGAGCCGGAGGGCAGGGGCCAGCCAAGTGGCACTGAGGGGCCGAGAGGCACTCGCGGTGTTGTGGCCCTTGCCAGTTGCCGTTTCTGAGAATTCCTCCACACCAAGAAGCACCTGCAGTATCTCGTCCCGTGAGCGACTCCGATCCTCCAGGACAGCAGAAGGTTCAAGGGGAAAGCTCGACGTTGGCCTCTGTCTCTCTGCAGCAGCTGAGGGGGACTGGGGCCATAGCAGCCCCCCACGAAGGCCATCTTGCTCTTCATCCTGGAGAGGTTTTCCTTGGGCAGCTCTGGCCGTTGGCAGTGTTCGCTCGGGGCTTACTAGGAAAGATACACGTGCTGCAGTTCCTGTGGTCATCTCTATTTGGGCAGTTTCAAGCTTTGTTTTTTTTCAGTCTAAATTTATTGTTTTTTATGTAATCACCCTGCGTGGAACCGAATGATTCTTCTTTGGGGGCGTCCCAAAGGCTTCATCCTTCAACTTCTGTGGGAAGGGCAGTTGAAGAGTGCCTCTTCCCCAACCTTTCTCCGTGTCCTGTGGCATACCCACACCTTTAGATCGTCTTTGTGACAACCAGCAATTGGGGGCCTCCTGCAGAGTCCTGCTGTGGAGAACATCTCCCAACAGCTCTGGTTTTAAGTGGAGCTGGAAATTCTGGTTCCTAATTGGGGGGGGGGAGGGGGAAATAATGCTTCTGTAGAAGGGACCATTGTCTTCAAAAGGGGGCTGTATCAGTCAGCTGCCTCTTCCACCCCCTGTGGCCAGGCAAGTGTGGGAGGGAGGCCTGCCCCCTTGTTCCCCTGTTCCTGTGTTCAGCAGTTGACTACTGAATAAAAGTTGTTTTGTCTAAAAGTTTGCAAGTAATGTTTTTGCTAGCCGGACCCATGTAGATGCAATCCTGCCTCAGCTTCCTAACTGTTCAAAGCACTCCACGTGGGTAAACTTCACAAAAGCCCTGTGGCCCCATATTGCAGCTGGGTGCAGCCAAGACTGAGCAGCCATGGCTCAGCAAGCTGAACTTTGGATCACGTGGCATTCTTGGCCACTCGGGCTGTACCAGAACCAGGGGAAGGAGAGGCTGACCTGGGCTGGTTTAGTCTGGAGAAGGCAGACTACGATAAGGGACCTCCTGAGCCTTATTCAGGCTGAATCCTGGGGCACGTTGGCTGTTAAGGCCATTGGGAAAAGTCCTGCTTGGCTGGGGGGGGGGCTTTGTCTTATGCAAGGTGGGCAGTTTGCTCATCCTCCCCCCTCCATTGGGGGGGCAAGCCCTTTTGCAGGTCCATTTTTACCTTCGACTCATCCCTGTCTGAACCTACCAATAGATCCAGACTCCCTGTGTTGTGAAGCCTTTTTCAGACCATGGTGTGAAGTAGGGGTCATCTTAAACTGACATGGAGAAGATGGACTGTGCCGTGGCATGGGTGAAGCACAGAGGCACCTCAGGCTCTTGGTTTCACACACAATGCAGTGCACGTGTGTATGTTTGTGTCTTCCCCTTCGTCGAACATCCCTCTGTCCTCGAGGCTGGGTGGGCCTCTTCCCATCTCTGTTTTGGCTCTTGATGTCCTCCAAGCGGTTTCCTTAGATTAATCTTCTGCCTTGAAGCTTGCTTTTAAACAAGCAAAAATAGGATTCTTAACAGAGAGGCTGTTTTGAGATGCCAAAGGGCAGGGTGAGAGAAACGCCATGTGTGTTGAGTAGACTCTACCAAGCAGGAAAGGGTGCTTCCTCCTTCAGAGGAGCTTTGGCTCTGGAGAATAGTAAAAAGCCCAGTAGCACCTTTAAGACTAACAAACTTTATTGTAGCATAAATGTGAGCCATAAAGGTGCTACGGGGCTTTTTACTATTTTGCAGCAACAGGCAAACACGGCTAACTCCTCTTGACTCTGGAAAGCTCCTACTCTGAAACTCTTTTTGGCCTCTGAGGTGCCACTGGACTCCGAAGTGCCACAGAGCAGCACAGCGACCCCCTGAAACGGCTTCCTACTTGACTACCTGCCAGTCACAATCTTCACAGATACTTGTGTCTTGAATGTGCAGCTCTTCTGGTTAAAACTGGCCCCTTCCTCAGTGAGCTAAAATTTTGGACCAGTCTCAGGGACAGTTGCCGTCAGTTCTGCTTGAGTGTCTGATTGGAACCAAGACCTGTGCCAAGGGGATGGATGGAGAGGCTTAACTTACAAGCCACATTGTATTGTCCGTGTGTGTTTTGAGGGAGCCTAAATGTGACACGGAGGCAGTTTAGAGCTTTCACCTTTGGGGGAGCTTGGGTAGGATCTGGGGGTGCTATCCGGCTTCAGAAGCATAGATTCTATTAAATTTATATTTTAAATATTTCCCCCTTTTTAAGAATAGTGATCCCCAGCAAAATAAAAATGGAAACGTAACAGAGAGAGAGACCCTGGGCATGTGAGAGGCAAGTGCGTCTCTGCCCCACAGGTTTACTCCTTCAGAGTGAAGGCGCAGGAGTTGATGGAGCTTGGAATTCTTGCAAAGGCCCAGGCGGCTTGTGAGTGTTTGGGGCCATTCCCACTTTAGGTGGCAGCACACCTGGTTTTATCAGGAGGAGAGTGGAGGGGGGGGCTTCTTGGAAAGGAAGCTGAATCCCCCTTGCAAACTCGGTTTGTTGACTTCCGTTGGGCAGTCTGGTCATCTCTTATACAGCAATGGCTGAAAGAGGTTGGGATGGGGGGGGAGGCAGAAAAGTCTCGCCTATGTGATCCCTCCTCACAGCTGCAGCAGGTCCCATTTTTGGGGGTATATAGCGGCAGATATCCTTTGTTCAAACAATATGGTGTTGCATGCCATGTAATACGTTCAGACCGTACTAGCATGTCTGTGCGCGTAGATAAATATGAAATGAGTCATATCGAGTTGGAATATGTCCTTGTTTATGTGTAGATTTACATACACACCCTCAGCAGTGTGTGCGCTTAATACACGTATTGCACAAACACGTGCTTCAGAGTTGGGCATTAAACGACTAATGGAAGCAACCTGTCCGCAGGCTCAACCGCCTTTAGCCGGGCCTCCAGGGTTCCTCTGCGCCTGCTCCCCAGCGCCTTGGAACAAAGAGCCGTCGAGGGCGGCCGAAGCGCGCGGGGTGCGGACCGGGGCCGCGCTTCACCGCTGGGGGGAGCCGCTTGATCCGCGCAGAAGGGGGGGGGGCTTCCTTCCCCGCCCCGGATCTCGCGACAGCTGCGGCGTAAAATGGCTCCGAAGGAGCCGCCCGCCCCCCTTTGATGCCGACTTCGGCATATGTCCTCCACTTCCCTGCAAGGGCCCCCCACCCTGTCCTCTTCTCCCTCCAACAGGAAAATTCTCCACTGAATCAATGCCACTAGATAAGGGAGGGAAGAGAAATGTTTTGCTTTCACCAGCATTCTTTGCAAAGAATCACATGCAGCACAGAGCATGTCCTGTTTCCTGGTTTGTTTCATAGTGGGGAGAGGGGTGAAGAGAGAAATCAGAGTGTCTGGCAAATCAAAAGTTTCCAGAACTTAAAAAAAATTCCCCCTCCCAGCACAGTGCTAATGGTGTCAGCAGCGCTGGGGGGGGGGGCGTGGGGGGGGGGGGGGGCGGGGGGGGGGGGGGGTAGAAACGGAGGCGGCCGCCGCACTCGGCGTCGACTACCAAACCCCGATGCAAAAGCTGCGTGTCACCGCGGGGGCTGTGCGAAGGAGCCGGGCGGGGGAGCGTGGACGAAAAACGGGCAGGCATACGGAACCCCCCACCCCCGGCCCGGGAGAAAGCGCCGGGGCCGTTGGCGCCCCACCGACTCAGCCTGCAACAGACCCGCGAGAACGGAAGCGCCACGGGGGGGGCTGTGGAGACGGAGCGTCCCCCCCGCTTGCAAGAGTTCCCCGGGGAAGCAGCAGAACTAGCCCCCAGGCCGAAGGCATCGCCGGGCTGCAGTGCCCCCTCCCCACACGCTGGATCCAGAGCTGCGTGGAGGCGCCCCATGAAAAGCCCTGTGGAGGGAAACAGCACCCCCCCCCGGACTTCAGAAGTGCGGGATGAACTCTGGGTGCCTGAAGCCCGGGCAGAGGAAGGGGTGGGTGTGTTTGGGTTGGATTCTCGGGTTCGACACGCCGGGCTGCAAGGCAAGCCACGTGGCTGGGGGTCCCGGGGCTCTTCTTCCTCTTTTCGGGTTGCCAGCCTCCAGGTGGTAGCTGGAGGCCGCTGGGGTGGACAGCTGACCTCCAGGCAACAGAGGTCAGTTACTCTGGAGAAAAGGGCTGGTTTGGAGACTGAGCTCTATGAAATCACGGCCCTGCTGGCTTCCCTCCCCAAC